TCTCAATATATTCTCTTATAACACTTACACAGACAAATTATTTCAAGCACTTTAAAAATTCAGTAGGTGCTTAAATAAATGATTGTTGGTGAAGAGGTAATCATGAAAAGGTAAAATAGCAGCTAAAAGAATGGACTCATTCTATCTGTAAGACATGCTAAAAAAAAAAGAAAAGAAAAAAAGAAAGAAAGAAAGAAAGAAAGAAAGAAAGAAAGAAAGAAAGAAAGAAGCCCAGTGGGAGATAAAAAGTGGTTGGTACTTTGCTAACACAGACCTCAGACATTGTAACTTCTTTCTAACAGCTACAAATTTCCCCTGCGTGGATACACTACACTTACACATTTATACATTACTCTGTTAAAATACTATTCAAGTATCTGTTGCTTCTAAGAATTTCAAAGGCAATGAATTACTTCTAGCTAAGTATGATAAGGATTTGGATCAGTTTGGCTCTGACTACTGCCAATAACAATACTATCTAGCTCCCATTAGAGTCAAGTGTAGCTAAATTCTGGTAAACATTTAATACTTGACAGTTGGTACTCTGCCAACATCAATACACAGGCTGAATCTGGAAATAACAGTCCAAAAAGAGGACACAAGCCAAACAAAGCTTCAATCCAGGAATAGCAGGTCAACCTGCACCTAATTAAGGACATATCGATTCTTCTGGAATGTCTGCTCACTAGCAAGCACCATGTGTTCCAGCATACAGGGCAAGTCGGCTGCCTCACAGAAGAACAGGGCAGTTTATCATAACTTACAGGAACATTTTTGGAACACAACTTGTTCCTAAGTTAGAAACTTCTGGCTTTTTTATTTTAAAGGAGGGAAGACTATAGGGGGAGAGGATACATGTTCTTACAGAATAAAGATTTTTTTTTTCATGGGCATTTTATTATTCTTATTCTCCCCTACCCCTAAAATGAACAGATGTGGAAATCAGGGCTCCAAGAATGTGAATCTATTTGCCTATCCTGTGTCAACTTTCTCTGCGTTTCCTGTATTACGATTCTTACTCTCTTTGGAGCAGCAGGCTGTCTGCAGCTAAGGGTGCCATGTGACCTCTGGCCAACGAGACGAAGAAGCAGGGGGCTTCAGGCTACTCTTTCCTAACACAAAGAGTATCTGGGAAGAGATCTTTCGTCCCTCTTCTTTCCTCTTTCTCCCAGCCTGGAACAGAGCCATTGTAACTAGAAGCACCCATCTCCGTGAGGCTACAAACAAAGAGCCACCTTCTAAGAAAAGAAGCAAGAAGTCAGGTGCCCAAGAAGATCATAAAGCCACTGAAGCACCCTGCCCTTTGGCCATCTCACTACGTGAGGAAAATAAAACCTTGACTTGTTTACCTACTGTAATCAGATTTATTTTGTATGCAGCTAAATGCAACCCTAACTGATACAGACAGGCAATGAGGAACACTGTCAAAGGAGGAGTCCACTATACTTCAATTAAAAAAAAAAAAAAAAAGTAAAAGAAAAAAACTGAGACAGGACTTCAAAGACTTAAGCCCTGTACATCGCCTTTATATGTTTGTTTTCTCTTTTTTAAATTGGAAGTCACCGTAATTCATCTCTTATACGCTTTCCAGGGGTATTTTGAGTTTGGAATGAATGTCAATACATTTCATAAACTGTGAAAATACTAAACAAATATCAGATATTAATAAGGAGTAGTTAGCTTTTGCTGTAACACTTTGAACTATGTGGCTTTCATAAGAGCTGCTCAGCGTCTTTTCTCATCTATAAAAAATGGCAATAACAACACTTTGCTTTGTCGCAGAGTTATCACAAGCTCCAAATGAGAGAACTTGGGTGTATTTCAAATGGTTAAACACTATCCAAATGTTAGGAATCGTGGAGTTGTGAAAATGGCGTGATGTACTGATTTGCGTAGTATTTGTCAGGTTAACTGCTCCACCTTGAGGAACATATCAAACTTCTGAGTCCCATTTTCTCATCCCTAAGTGGGAGTATCAGTAGTAAGTGTATCCTTCCCTTATGAGTTATACTAAGTGTAGCAATACTGCTAAGTTGAGTTATGCTCCAATATCCACTCGCCCTACTTTCCCCGAAGTGACAGAATCCCTCAACTGGATGCTTGGATTCCCACCAAAAATAAAGACTACATTTCTTAGTCTCCCCTGCAGCTGGTTTCAGCTACATTTTGGTCAGTGGGACGTGAGCTGAAGCGATGTGTGCAACTTATAGGTCAAACCCTGAGTGGACAATGTCCTCCACGTCTCCCTTCTGGATCTCCTGCACTGGTGGAATGTGAAAGAAGCAGGGGGCCATCCTCAGTCATGCAGAAGCGGACAGCAAAACTGAGCACAGCAAAAACAGCAAACGAGAGCAACCTGCATGCCCGGTCTGCCTGCACGCACGCTGTTAGAGAAGGGAGAAATCAACTATTTTGTTGAACCTCTGGTATTTTGGTGCATTTTGTTACAGAGGCCTAAATTAGCGGCCCAACCCGTATCCTAACTTACTCGGTAAGGATTAAAGGAAATATGTGAAAGCAACCCACAAACCATAGGCAATTATATAATTTATTTTAAGGCACCCTGTCGGCAGTAATGGCCTCAATCTTTTGTAGCTCATCAAACTGTCAACTGTAAAAACTATCTAAATTATGAAAAGAAGATAAAAAGTCAAACACCACAAAGCAGATGTGGTCTTGTAACGCAGAGCCAACACTCAAGTATATGTTCAGCCTATCTCAGAGCAGCTGGAATTTGGGACACAAGGTTATTCTGCAAAGCAAATAAATGTTAAGAGTCATCAAAAATTAACCTTGTCTCCATTTCTGTACACTTGAGAGCCAGATTTTTTTTTTATTTTTTTTTTTTAACGTTTATTTATTTTTGAAACAAGAATAGACAGAGCATGAACGGGGGAGGGTCAGAGAGAGAGGGAGACACAGAATCGGAAGCAGACTCCAGGCTCTGAGCTGTCGGCACATAGCCCGACGTGGGGCTCGAACCCACGGACCGCGAGATCGTGACCTGAGCCAAAGTCAGCCGCTCAACCGACGGAGCCACCCAGGCGCCCCAAGAGAGAGCCAGCTTCTTTAGGCAGTGGCAGCCACGCCACCGACATGCAGCAGAGAAGACCAGAGTAAGCAACAGCGCTGTATGGGCTGTGGCCACAAATCACCACAAACATGGCGGCTTACGAGGAAAGAAACGTATTTTCTCACAGGCTGAAGGGCTCAATGGTCAAAATCAAGATACTGGTAGGGTTGAATCCTTCTGGAAACTCTACGGGAGCATTCATTTCATGCCTCTCTCCTAGCTTCCACCATCTCTGTGCCTTCGCCATCCCATCCTCTTATCGCGTGTCTCTGTAACCTCAGTTTCTTATAAGGACACTCTCACTGATTTAAGGACCTACCCTAATCCAGGAGGACCTCATCCCGATACCTTAATTACACCTGTAAAGACCTGACTTCCAAATAAGGTAGATTCTAAAGTTCTGATGTAATGGGTTTATGTTCCCCAAAAGGTATGTTCAAGCCCTAATCCCCAGCATAGCAGAATCTGACCTTATTGGAAATGGGGTTACTGTGGACGTAATCAGCTAAGATGAGGTCATGACCGGGGAGGTGGACTCTTAATCCAATATGGTGTCTTTGTAAGAAGAGAAGCCACACAGAGCCACGGATACACAGGCAGAATACCGTGAAAAGATGAAGGCAGAGACTGCAGTGATGTGTTCAGAAGCCAAGGAACACCATGGACTGTTGTCAAACTAGTAGAAACTAAGAGAAAAACATGGAAGAATTCTCCCTTACAGGTTTCAGAAAGAGCACTTCTCTGCCAAAACACTGATTTTAAACTTCCAAGCCTCCAAAAACTGTGTTGGACTATATATCTGTTGTTCAAAGACAGTTTGTGGGTTTTTTGTGTTTTTGTTTTTATGGCAACCACAAAAAACTAACACAGGAGTGAAAATGAATTGGAAAGGGGCATTATTCGACCCACTACACTTGGTCAATGCTGGCGCTGGCAAAATGGATACTGTCACCATCAGGAACCTCATCAGAGTGGAGCCAAAAGGACTCCTGATGGGAACTACCGATTCAAAGTATGAGGAGTCCCTTCAGACTGTCAAGGATACCGCTGACACCACTAACTGTCACCCTCAACTTGTACATCATGACAACTCATGGTGTCTTTCTGGACTTGTAACTACAGTCCACGCTATCACTGCTATTCCTAAGACCGTGGCTAGTCTCTCTAGGAAACCATAGCATAATGGCCATGTCCATTATGTGCCACAGTCCACTGGCACTTGCAAGGCTTTGGGCGAGGTCATCCCGAGCTGCACGGAAAGCTCTTTGGCACGGTCCTCCACACTCTCAACTCCCAATGTAACCATCACAGATCTGATCTGCCTTCTGCACAAAGCTAACAGACATGACCACATCAAGACAGTGGGAGAGCCAAGGGTCCAATGGAGCTCTGAATGGTGTCCAGGGCTACACGAGGATTAGCCTGATTAGTAAGACTGTCACCATGACACCATCCATTTTTGATGCTGAGGTTGCCAGGTTGCCATTGCCCTTAACCACCACAGTTTCCTGACATGACAACAGATTTGGCTAAGGCCAAATGGTAGATGGTAGATCTACCATCTCAGATGGTAGATCTCAGAACCCATGTGGAATCCAATGTATATGAGCCCTGGACCTTAGCCCCAGCCACAGCACAAGAGAAACAGAGAGGAACACAACGTGTGCCCAACTGGATTCCTCAACACTCTCCATCTCTCATGGTCATTCACGGTTTCTGTCCTCTAAAGAGAGTTTAGAAAGCTCTGCCTCATTACGTGTTATCGTTACCAACACCAAATCCCCACTGTATCCAATGAAAGGGTGAGGTATGGTGGGACTGACCTCAATAATTATTGAGCTACAGTTGCGATTCTGATAAGGCAGTAAGTACTATAGACCCATGATTTAGTAACATTAACTCTTGAGAGCTCTAGTGTATCTCTTACCTGTGTATTCAGAAAATGGCTTATGTATTACTCCTAGCACAGGTTTACCATTCACAGCCACACACACCATAGTAGTGACATACTTTCGAAGATCCTCTAGGAGAAAAAAAAACACAGAAAACAAAAAACCCCAATAACATATGTTATTATTAAAGTAAGTAATTTTAAACTTTAGTTTTAAATTTGAAAATCAAGTTAAATACTTAGAATAGTCCCTGCACAAGAGAGGCGCTCACATTTACTATCACTATTATATAATCAGGCCAATCTCAGTTTAGGAAAAATTTTTATTAAAAAATCCCTCAATATTCTGTACTTCTACTACCTACTTCTGCAAAATATTTTCTAATTTCAGTTGCTATTAGACACCTAGTGTCTTCCTCCTGTTCTCCAAATAGTTACCTACTGAGTGTCTATTATGGGTCAATCAAGGTCAGTGCTTAAGGACTAGAACACAAAGATGAAAAAGTAGAAGGCCCCACATTCAAAGAACTTATCATCTAGAAGGAGGGCACATAGATAAGCAATTACCTTTACTATATACACCAACAGAGCAGAGAAAAAGCAAGCATTGGATATCTCAGTGTAAGAAACAAGGCAAGAGAGAGGATCCACAGAAATGAAATCTGAGCTAGGCCTAGGTAACAATACAAACAAACAAAAAAGAAAATTCGGTGGGGGCAGTAATTCTCCATGTTGCCACTTACTTACCCCTGGATGCCTACGACTTACTATGCTGAATTCTAAAGATAAATGTATATGCAATAAACCCTCAATTCCTCAAATCACGAGTAAATATTATATTCTGGCTACATAAATAAATACCTGAATAATGTACACCTCAATATATAATAACTCAGTATGTAAACAAACACCTCAAGAAACAGGTGTCCAACAGGAGCCATTTTGTTGTTGCGACTGATCAAAATGTCCTTTCACTGAAGGATCAGTGAGTGATATGGTGAATCACGACCACTAATGGGAGTATGCCATAATATAGTGGTTTTGGGGGGAGAAAAAGGTTGAGAATACCTGGGTCCATCCAAAGGTTTCACACCACACTGCATGAATCCAGCTCTCTGTCTTAAAACCTAATTGGAAAGGCTTGCGCCAAATTGGTAAAGTATTTACCCACCAAGAATATACCACCCGCCTTTGTTCTGATTCCCCAATATATAATGGCAATCTGAAGTCTGAAGTGAATTTTCATGTGAAGTCACCTGTATATTCCTGTGTAGCATCCAGTGGATCGATCCAGACAGTAACGCTTTCTGCTGGTACCTCCTTGGGGGTGGCGATTTCCTTCAGGATGTCCTCAGGAATCTTACGGTCCCATATGATAACCTCCTGATCAGCTGCATCTACATGTTCCTCAGTATTTATCTGCACCAAAAATAGATGACAGCTAAAACATTTAAAAAGAAGAAATACCCCCTCAGAAAACATGAGAGAGAGAAACTTCTCAGACCGAATCGCATCCACTGGAAGTCAGTAAATCCGTATGTTTGTTTTGAAGCATTTCGTTACAAAACAGAAAAATATAAAAAATTCCAGCAACATCTTGCCTTCAAGTACTATTTATTTAACTTAATATTCAAGTTTAGTTTATTGCCTCAGAGAATCCAAATATAGAGAAATATAGAGAAATTAATCATCAAAGAAACAAGCTATGTAAAGCTTAATGATATTGTAAAAAACAACAGATCTAAAGTGTGAAAATAGATTGGCAATATTATGGAACACTGAACTGAACGCGGTAACTATAAGGAGGAGAAAAGTGACAATGGACTTGAAAGAAATATGCTTTAGAACAGATAATTCATGAATGCTAAGAGTCACAATGTCCTAGAAAAGTAATCATCTAAAATATAGCTTTGATCAATAGAAAAAAGAAACCTGGAAATAATGAAAACAGATAATAAGCTAGCATATTATAAAATATAAACAAGGCTGAAATGAGTAATCCAGACAGACAAAAAAGAGCCTTCTCTTCACTATACCAAAGGTAAGTCACAGGATAAAATGCTAAAGTCAAATTTTCTGTTTTTATTTACTAGGACACAAAATTAAAATATAAAATAAATCTGACTTCTATAAAAACGTAAAGGTAGGGGCGCCTGGGTGGCGCAGTCGGTTGAGCGTCCGACTTCAGCCAGGTCACGATCTCGCGGTCTGTGAGTTCGAGCCCCGCGTCAGGCTCTGGGCTGATGGCTCAGAGCCTGGAGCCTGTTTCCGATTCTGTGTCTCCCTCTCTCTCTGCCCCTCCCCCGTTCATGCTCTGTCTCTCTCTGTCCCAAAAATAAATAAACGTTGAAAAAAAAAATTAAAAAAAAAAAAAAAAAACGTAAAGGTATAGGGGAGTAGAGAACCACTGCTTTCAACAGTAAGCTTCTTAATGAATACTTAAAACATACTCTGCTTTGTAAAACAATGATTTAAATTAACGTATTACAGGGCCGCCTGGATGGTTAAACGGACTTTGGCTCAGGCCATTATCTCCAGGTTGGTGAGTTCAAGCTCTGCATCTGGCTCTGTGCTGACAGCTCAGAGCCTGCAGCCTGCTTTGGATTCTGTGTCTCCCTCTCTCTCTGCCCTTCCCCTGCTCACGCTCTGTCTCTCTTTCTCTCTCAAAAATAAACAAATGCTTAAAAAATTAAAATTAATTTATTACATTTATATTTACTTTTGTAAATAATGACACACCTAAACGAGGCAAACTGAAGAACTGACTGCATTTTAAGAATTGGGTTAATAACAGACTGTCAACTTTATTCGTGTACTACCTTATCAGAAGACTTCCTCTATCAAATCATAACATCCACATGCAAGAAAAATGTCTCCAAAATGTGAATTTCCAGTAGGGATTAAGACTGAAGCGAGGCAGCCTTTTGGGTACTGTGCTTTCTGCCAAGCTCCCTTTCCACAGCAGATCACTGTGTTTGTGCGGCACGTGGTGGCACGCCCAGACCCCATACCACAGGGTCAGAGTGATGATAACACTGACAACTACATAAGTAAACAGTCACACACGATAAAAACCCTACAAATACCAGCAATCTCTGGAAAGTGCCTGAACTATCCCAAATTGTCGCAGAGAAAGCTAAAAACTGTAATATTCCAGAAAGAGCCACTTAAATAAAAAAATATTTTTAATATAGTGTAAACATCCAATTCATCCATTCACTTATCCCTTTAGTGATTCAGCAAATTTTACTGATTGCCTACTATATGCCAGGCAGTTCCCAGAACCGATGTACAACGGTGATCAACTTGAGACAAAAATCTCTGCCCCTGTGCCCCTTCGATTCTAGGGAAGGAGTTAAACAATGCACAAATGAGTGAAACAGGTGATATGCTGAATAGTGATAACAAGGAGATCTAAAATATAGCAGAGAAGCACCGGCAGCATGTTGTAGGAGAGCAGAAGGGTTACTGCTTAAGATAGGGTGGCCAGGATTTTTCATAGTAGCCTAAGATTACAAACTACCAAGTGTCCATCAACTGATGAATGGATAAACAAAATGTGGTACATCCATACAGTGGGATGCTATTCAGCCATAAAAAGAAATGAGATACAATTCATACTATAGCAAGGGTGAGCCCCCAAAACATTATGTTAAGTGAAATAAGAAACAAGAGACCACATACTGGATGATTCCATTTAATGTGAAATGTCTGTAACATGCAAATCTATGGAGACAGTAGATCCGTGGTTGCCTGGGGTAGGGGTGGGAACACAGATAAGTAGTAATTGGGCACAGGGATTATTAGTAGGGTGATGAAAACGTAACACTGATTAATGGCAATGGTTGTACAGCTCGGCAAATCTAGTAAAAACTAGTGAACTGGATATCTGCAATGGGCAAAGGATACTGATACGTAAAATCACGCTGCAATAAAGTTGTTTGTTTTCGAAGACAGGGTAGCTAAGGCAAAGGCGGTGTTAGAGTGAAGATTTAAAGGACGTGAGCCTCGCCAGGCATCTGAAGTTATATCCTTCCAGCCCAGGGAGTAACAAATGCAAAGGCGGGAGGTGGGAGCCTGCTGGTATATTCAGAGCAAGGAGGCAAGTGCGGCCAGAGCAGAGTGAGCCCGGAAGAAGGAGCCGGAGGTAAGGGTGGCGATGGAAACCTGACGGTGAAGGACTCCGCCGGCACCTCACCGAATCAAGCTGCCCTCCATCATAACCTCTGCGAACAGCGTGCACAGCGTCCTAGCCATTGCAGAACGCTGAGGGTGGCGAGCGTAGAGAGGCAACGGGATAGAAAGGAAGAAGTCATAACATGCAATTCATGACTTACTACTGAGAAAATCCAAAAGAACTTGTAGATAAATTATAGGGTAACAGAACTTTCACAGCCAAGTCTCTAGGTACAAGATCGGTATTTAACAATCACTCGCATTTTTTACCAGCAACAGATACTAGCGACAGATATTAAAAAAAACAGATTTAACATAAAAATGGAAGCCATTTCAACTAACAAAAGAAGTAAATTATTTGGAAATAAATCTACCCAAGATGTGCAAAAACAGTACAGAGAAAATTAAACTGTATGAAAAAAATATTACTGAAAAACAACAAAGATGTCAATTCTCCCACCAGTAAGCTATAGATTAAATGCAACTCCAATCGAAATCCCTATAATTTTTTTTTCTTTCTTCTTTTTTTTAAACCGCTTCTTGGAAAAAGAACAAGGCATTTTGGTGACAGGGGCGGGGGAGGGAAATTATCATGGTGGGCTGACTTTCCTTACCAGTTATGAAGACTTACCTTAATGCCAGAATAATTATGACTGTGGCACTGGTGACATATTTGGCTTTTCCCTGCAGCGTCACTGAGAAAGCTACACATACATATCAAGTGTGATGGCTTGATAGGTGGTAAAAACGACTACCACAATCAAGTTAACTACTGCATCTATCAGTTGTTTTGTGGTGAGAATGCCTAAGATCTAGTTAAGATCTACTAAAATACAGTATCATTAACCACAGTCATCTTCCTATATATTTGAACCTCAGAACTTACTCATCTTAGTCATAACCACCAGTTTTACACCCTTAGACCGACACCTCCTCTCTTCCCTCATTCCCTAGTCTCTGGCAATCACCATTCTACTCACTGTTTCTAGGAGCTCAACATTTTTTTGGATTTTTTTTTAATGGCTTCTGCCATTAACATTCCATTGTGTGTGTGTGTGTGTGTGTGTGTGTGTGTGTGTGTCTATACTGATCCATCCATCAGTACTTATCCATCATTTCTGTATTTTGGCTATTGTAACTATTGCCACAATGAACACAGGAGTACAAATATCTCAAGATACTAATTTCATTTAGATATATATCCAGAAGTGGGATTGCTAGATCATATGGTAGTTCTATTTTTAATTTCTTGAGGAACCTCCATAGTATTTCCATAATGGCTATACCAATTTACATTCCCACCAATGGTATAAAAGGGCTCTCAGAATTTTCTCCACATGCTTGCTAACATTTACCTCTTGTCTATTTGATAATAGGCACCCTAACAGGTGAGGTAACATTTCAATTGTGGTTTTGATGTGTACTTCCCTGATGATTACTGATGTTGAACAACTTTTCATATAACTGACAGTTACTTGTAGGTCTTCTTGGGGAAGTATGTATTCAGGTCCTTTGTCCATTTTTAAACTGGATTACTTATTCTTTTGCTATTGAGTTGAATGCGTTCCTTATAGATTTTGGACTTTAGACCCTTATCAAAATACATGGTTTACAAATATTTTCTGCCATTCCATAGGTTGCCTTTTCCTTTAGTTGTTTCCTTTGCTGTGCACAGCTTTTAAACTTGATGTCATTTTCCTTGTTTATTTTTGCTTTTGATTTCTGTACTTTTAGTGTCTTTTCTAAAAAATCATTGCTCAGACCAGTATCAAAGAGCTTTATATCTCAGGTGTTACACTGAAATCTTGTATGCATTTTGAGTTAATTTCTGATGAGTGAGTGGTATAAGACAGGGATCCACTTTTATTCTTTTGCATATAGATAGCAGCTTTCCCAGCACCTTTATTGAGGAAGCTATCTTTTCCCAGTGGTATGCTCTTGATGCTTTGCCAAAGATGAGTTAAATGTACATGTGGGGATTGATTTCTCTATTCTATTCCTTTGGTTTACATGTACGTTTTATGCCACTACCACACTGTTTGGATTACGATCGCTTTGTAATTTGAAATCAGGAAATGGGATGCTTCCGGGTTTGTCCTTCTTGCTTAAAATTGCTTTAGCTACTTGGGTCGTTTGTGGTTCCACGTGAATTTTGGATTATTTTATCCCATTTCTTTAAAAAATGCCATTGGGATTTTGACAGGGGCTACATTAAATGTATACATTGCGTTGAGCAGTATGGG